CCTCCCAGTGGCTGCATGCCTCTTACAGGCAGCCTTCCAGGAATGATTCTTGGATGACATCCCTGGAGACCCGGTCCGAGTACTGCCTGTCGGCAGCCGAGGGCAACTACAACCCCCGCCCCCGGGGGTGGAGACGCCCCACATGAGGCAGAAGATGGGTCGTGGGCCCCGTCACGGTCTCTTTCAGCGATGTCCCTTGGCAGGGCCTCTGACGGATGCGGTAGCTTTAGATTCACTTTGGTCTTAGCGTGTTCTCGAAGTCACCTGAGGGTGTGTGTATGTGTGTGTGCGTGCACGCGTGAGCATGGATCAGGCCCGTGTCTGCTGACGCACAGAACCTCTTTGAAGAGAAAAATCCATTCCCAGTGTGGATATGCTGGCTGGCATCTAACCCATCACTGTAATCCCACATCTGCCTCGGGGAGCGGGGAGTCTCGCACCCGAAGCCCCTTGGGTACCACGGAGGAAGCGCTTTCCTCTGTGCGGCCCTGTCCAGGCAGGAGCGCGTGAGACACAGCGCCCACGGCCGCGAGCAGCAACGCCGGAGACTGTAACGGTGGAAGCTCTCAGCAGAGCCGGGCAGCGAGGGCTACATTCACCACGAGCCCCTGGGTGTTATTTGAAGCCTTTCGCAGAAACATTTCAAAAAATCGAATAAAATTCAGGTGACTTTGTAGAGCGGCCACATCGGCATTCTCAGAAAGAAAGAGCTGCCTGAGAGGAAGGCAGTTAGTTATACGTTGCAGAAGGACGTTTGAGGTGAACGGTGTCACGTGTGGGGAATAGAAAGGCCTAGGTATGGGGACCGGGGGTGCCTTTAATCCAGCTACAGCCAGCGGCCTGAGACCGGGCGCACCGGGGTTCAGGCGCCCCCGCTGGTCAGGTGGTCTAGTCTCATCTCCTCACCAGCTCTGACACGAGAAGCTTCTCTCATTGGTAGAATGAACTCTGATGTGTTCATTATGCATGTTTGCTGCTCATCACGTGCACATGGGCTGAGCCCCAGAAGAGATTGAGGTCCTCGGTGGTACTGCCCGTCTTACGAAGGTCTGAGGAATTGTTGGGTGGCAGGTTCTGGGCTCCGCGTTACGTGGAGTGAGGTCGACATGAATGAGCAAACTGCTGGTGGATTTAAGGAAGTGGCGGAGGGATGTGTCTGGCGTTATGCAACCGAGGTGGTGTCATTATCCATGTGCTCATCACGTGCACATGGGCTGAGCCCCAGAGAGAATGAGGTCCTCGGTGGTACTGCCCGTCTTACAAAGGTCCGAGGAATTGTTGGGTGGCAGGTTCTGGGCTCCGCGTTACGTGGAGTGAGGTCGACATGAATGAGCAAACTGCTGGTGGATTTAAGGAAGTGGCGGAGGGATGTGTCTGGCGTTATGCAACCGAGGTGGTGACCATCCCTTTAGTTATAGGAAACCGTGTTTCTTTACGAAGCTGTCTCTAGGCTGTCCCCAGGAG